AAACCGAAACGCAAAATAAAGTCATTATATAACTTTTCCGCCACTGTCTTAGCTGACTTATTTCGGGTTGCATAGGCTTGTGCGTAACGGGTAAAATGATCCATTATAACCAAGATATACTCGTAACCGCCACTACTTTTCTCAAGATGAACAAAGTCTAAAGACACCATCTGGAATGGAGCAGTTGTTGTCCCCGAGCCGACGGCGCGAAGCGCCGTGCGAGGGTACTAATTCCTCCCGGCTATTTACACCCGGGGAAACGAAAGCATTAGCGGAGTCTAAAGTTCATCAAATATCGCGGGCGTGGGTGACCAACGATGGGTGGTCATCCTCACTGATCTCAAAAATATGGCGGACTGTCATGAATAGCGGACACTGATTGGTCCAATTTAAATTTTGCATTATAACGACTGGCACGAATGTATCACGACAGCGAAATAGCAAACATTTCTTGATTTGATGATTGATAAATTTCTTGCAAATATATTTCATTTTTACTCGCATTTTTGCAAGATTTTGTAAATTTCAAAAGCTCTCTCAAAATGAAACTGCGAAAGAATCGTCTAAAAGAAGGGAGCCGACGTTAACGAAGGTAAGTTTGTTTTAAATATTGATTTTATAATGGCTTTAAAACCCGACGGCCTTTGCGTATATGAAACAACTAAACAAACAGCATATAATTTTAGTGTATCTTTAATATTGATCTAAATAAAAAAGAAAGCACTGAGTTATTTGCAAGCCAGAATTTGAAATCATTTTATTGCTAACTCAAAGTTTATCGATAAAGCCATTTTAAAAGGCAGTTTAGTTTTATAATGAACACTAGTGACTTTAAAACGTTTTGCGAAGCGTTTGTGGTTGAATTTTACCTTAAATTGAGGCTTATATTACGTATAAAAACATAGCTAACATATATTTATGTTGGGAAATTAATAATTTTGTAATTAAAAGTGATATTTTTAGGCGATTTTTCATTTGTAAGAATATTCTTAAAAAATTATCGTGTTACCATGACAACTACTTTAGAACTGCATGTTCGGAAAATACAATGGATTGTCAGCAAGGCGAGGGTTTCTGCATGCATGTATTTTCTAGTAATGGACTGTAATGGTGCCGGCCCTAGTTTGGAAAGTAGGAACTTTTTGCTTCACACACCGACATTTATGTGAAATGTAAGATTCTACATCTCTCTGCATGTGCGGCCAATAGAACCGAGCACGGGCAAGTTCTAGTACCCTATCTGCTCCTAAGTGGCCCATTTTCTCGTGAAGTTCCTCGTACACCAACCAATGGAGCTTTTTAGGTAAAACTATTTGATTCTTCAATCCAATTTTTCTCCGAAGTAATCCATGTTTGTCCAATTCCAACTTGTTCCACTCGTGCAGGAGGTACCGTGTATAGCGTGATTCATTAGATGTTTTTTCCGAAGTAGGTCTCTCTTTCGATTCAATCCATTTGATCACTTTGCTAATTTCTGTGTCGTCTCTTTGGGCAAGTGCAATCTCGTCACAAGAAATGGTGTTCATGGAAACACTGTTAATGTGCTTCATATCTTCTTCTAACACATCCTGATTTGTAGTAAAAGCTGTGATCCAGCTGATGTTACTCGCTTGCTGTTCCAAAATTGATGATTCTACGGCTTGGAGAGTATCCATTGCAATTTCCTCGGTGCACATCTCCATGTAACTATCGACATTTGGCAGCAACCTTGACAGCGCATCTGCATCAGTGTTCACTTTACCGGGGCGGTATTTGATAGTAAAATTGAAATCTGCCAGTTCTCCGACCCAACGTAAACCCGTTGCATTAAGTTTTGCGGAAGACAAGATGTATGTGAGTGGGTTGTTGTCAGTATAGACTGTGAATTCCGAGGCATAATACAAATAGTCTCGAAAATGGTCACAAATCGCCCACTTTAGTGCAAGAAATTCCAACTTGCCCGAATGGTGATAGTAATTTCTTTCGGCGGGTGTCAAGCTTCGAGAAGCATACGCAATAACTCTAGCTTGTTTCACCGTTTTGACTTTGGTACAGGACGGCTCCCAGTCCCTCTTCAGACGCGTCAGTGCACACAATAAACGGTTTGGTAAAATCTGGGTAAGCCATCATAGGTGGGTCAACCAAATGATCTGACAGGTCTTCAAGGATGAGGTGATGATCGTTAGTCCACTGCACAATAGTACTAGAGGGTAACTGTCCTTTCGATTTCATATTATGTTTGCTATTTCCTGTCTCTACACCGTCACTCTTAATTAGATCGTATATTGGTTTCGCTTTTCTAGAGAAATTTGGAATGTATCTCCGATAGCAATTTAGCAGTCCCATTAAACGCCTAACATCACCTACGTTTTTTGGAGGGGACGACTTCAAATAGTGGATAACCTCTACGCCTGCAGGGTCCATTCGATAACCGCTTTCTGAAACAATACGTCCCAAAAACACTACTTCTCTCTCGAACAACTTACACTTTTGAGGCTTTAGCTTTACCCCATTTTCCCTTAAACGCTGAAATACCTTCCGAAGATGTTCCATATGATCCCCGAACGTGGCACTAAATACGATGACGTCATCAAGATACGGGATACATATTGTGTCGCGCAAGTCATCCAAACAGTTTTCCATGAATGTTTGGAATGCCGCTGGAGCATTACAAAGACCGAATGGGATTCGAACCCATTCATATAAGCCCCAAGGGGTTATAAAGGCAGTTAGGGCTTGGCTCCCCTCACTCATAAAACCTTGATGGTATGCTTTTCCTTGGTCCAATACTGAGAACCATGAATTTCCCCCAAGACTGTCAAGTGTCTCTTGGATCCTGTGTATAGGGTGGCGATCTGGGATGCTTTTTTATTTAGTTCTCGATAGTCGATGCAGAGCCGAAGCGTTTGGTCCTTTTTCCGGACACATACTACAGGTGAACTGTAAGGGGATGTTGACTTCCTGATGAAGTTCTTATTCAAGAGATCTTCAACATAACTTTTAACCTCAGGATAAAGCGGTCTTGGCACTGCTGTGTAGTTCTTTTGTACTGGTGTCTCATCGTTCAATTTGATTGTTACTTTCAGATCTGGGATACACCCAATGTCATCATCGTTCTGTGAAAATGCGTCAGCTTCTTGAGCTAACATCCTTAGCGCAACTGATCTTTGTTCTGGTGTTAACCCCTTTAAGTCAATGTTCTTGATGTGGTCAGGGATGCCCACCATGGGTTGGGTTTCATTAGTGAAAGCAACAGAACATTCACTAACTTTACAAGTTTGGTCTACCTGAGAACCATTCTCAACGGTTTCCTCTCTCAATTTTACTGGTATTGCGGTTACAGACCGTACCAGTTGTAATCGTCCTAACACTGTCCGTCGCTTAATAACAATATCATGATTTGTTGGGTTATTCGCCTGCACTTCGATAAAATTAGTCTTCCCTTTCTTTACTGTTAGCAATGTCTCATTGATTTCTAGGCAGGAGGGCCAAGGCATTGTTTCATCTGGTTCGAATAAAACTGGGGTAGTCCCACAAATTGGACCTGTATTAACTCGACACTGAATGTTTACCTGTTTACCACTTGGTATAACAACGTCTCTTTTGCTTGTTTTTACATTGCATAAATAATCACTGTCAGCACTTTGAACAAAGTTAATTAATGCTTGTGCTGCACCATTGTCAAGTCCAACAAATGAAGATTGAATTTCTGACAATAAATCATTGTGTTCATTTGTCACAATTTCTTCAATCACATTGTAGCCTATTACTGGGTGCTCAATTGTTTCAGTTGTAACCAAAAATGGCACGCGTACCTGGGCAATTGATAAAACTAGAATAGTGAAGCGAATAGTGAGAATAGTCCGCGAATAGTCGACGAATAGTACGAATAGTCGACGAATAGTCCGCGAATAGTCGACGAATAGTACAAATAGTCGACGAATAGTGCAATAGAGACTTTGCAAGGCTTTCCACCGTGCTGCAGAACTAAATTTACTGGGGCGGGGGG